AATGGATAAGGAAGCTGTGGTACATATACACCATGGAATATTACTCAGCCATTAAAAAGAATTCATTTGAATCAGTTCTAATGAGATGGATGAAACTGGAGCCCATTATACAGAGTGAGGTAAGCCAGAAAGATAAAGACCAATACAGTATACTAACGCATATATATGGAATGTAGAAAGATGGTAACGATAACCCTATATGCAAAACAGAAAAAGAGACATAGATGTACAGAACAGACTTTTGGATTCTGTGGGAGAAGGCGAGGGTGGGATGTTTTGAGAGAACAGCATCAAAACATGTATATTATCAAGGGTGAAACAGACCACCAGCCCAGATTGGATGCATGAGACAAGTGCTCGGGGCTGGTGCACTGGGAAGACCCAGAGGGATGGGGTGGGGAGGGAGGTGGGAGGGGGGATTGGGATGGGAAATACATGTAAATCCATGGCTGATTCATGTCAATGTATGGCAAAAACTACTACAATATTCTAAAGTAATTAGCCTCCAACTAATAGAAATAAATGGAAATATAAAAGAAACTGAAAAAAAATTGAAATAATACAGAAAAGTACAAAGAACTTAAATGCTTGGTATAATGAATAATGATAAAGAAAAGTCCCCAGCACTTCAGACATCTTACTCATGTTATTTCACAATCACATTTCTTTATCAAACCTTCATATAATTCCTGACTTTTTTGGGGGGATCCTTTTGGGTTTTTTACACACAATTTACAAATTATATCAGTTTTGCTTCTTTTCAACATTTTAGCTTTATCTCTTACCTTACTGAGTTGGCTAGCATCTCCAATGTAATCCTAAATATGAGAGTTTACAGTGGATAACCTTCTGATCAAGGGAAATCTTTTAACTTTTCATCTTGATATATAATGTTTATTGTAGTAATTTTTAAAATAAACTTATACGGTAGAGAAGTTTTCTCTCTATTGCCAGTTTGTTTTTCATAAATTGCTATATTTTTTTTCCATCTACTGAGATTATATTTTTCTTAGTGTGTTAACTGATAAATTATATTGATTTTACAATGTATGCTTTTCCTTGTTACAAAAACTTGTCCTGATTATTATGATTTTGTATATTGCTAGATCAGTTTGCTTATGTTTTATTCAGGATTTTGGCATATATGTTCATGAATAACTGAGTTTTAATTTTTTTTTATTGTTGTGCTACACTTGACAGTTTTATTATAAGGCTGATGCTAGTTTCATAAAATGAGAAGAGAATAATCCTTTTATATTTCCTGGAATTAATTTTTGTTAAGATTGTAACTATATTTTGAGTGTTTAGAAATTTTTTTTTTGAGTGTTTAATATCACTAGTCAATGAGATTATTTGGGTTTGGCATGTCTTCTTTGGGAAGTTTTTAAATTGACTTAATTTATTTAAATAATTATAAGATATCCAGGTTTTATATTTCTTCTTGAGTGAATGCTGGTAAGTTGTACTCTTCTAGTAATTTGCTCATTTCATTTTTAGACATACTCAAATAAAGCTGCGGATTCTTTACCCACTGAGCTATCAGGGAAGCCCCTTATATCCTTTTACTCTCTTTTAAATTTCTATAGCACCAAAGGGAAATCTGATTCTTTATTTCCAATGATTTTTACTCCTGAACTAATTTTATTTCTAATACAGTAATTCATGCTTCATTTTGTGATCAGCCATTCACTAAAAATTTTTCAATTTTAAAAATCTTTCAAAGGACCAAAATTTTCATTTTATTTGTTCTTCCTATTGTATCTATATTTTCCATAATTTATTTGTGGTTCAAGAACATACTCTGTAGTTTTGATCTGTTAAAATTTGTTTTATGATGTAGTATACAGTTAAAGTTTTTAATATAAACATACATACTTATGATCTCTAAGAAGCTATAGTATTAAGGAAGCCTTAATATAGGCATATGAATAACTGTTATAAGTAGTAGGAAATCCCTGGGAACTCAGCTGGTGAAGAATCCACCTGCAATGCAGGCAACCCCAGTTTGATTCCTGGTTTGGGAAGATCCCCTGGAGAAGGGATAGGCTACCCACTCCAGTATTCTTGGGCTTCCCTGGTGGTTCAATTGGTAAAGAATCAGCCTGCAACGTGGGAGACCTGGGTTTGACCCCTAGGTTGGGAAGATCCCCTGGAGAGGGGCACAGCAACCCACTCCAGTATTCTTGCCTGGAGAATCCTCATGGACAGAGGAACCTGGCGGGCTACAGTCCATGGGGTTGCAAAGAGTCAGACATGACTGAATGACTAAGCAAAGCACAGCACAGCAGAGTAGGAAATAACTGACGCTATAAAGGAAGCATATATTAATTATGAGCATGGGAATAGTAAGCAAGGCATTTCCAGATCAACACATCTAACAAAGCTTCATGGGAGTGTCATTTGAACCTCAGTATAATAAAAAAGACAACTCTAGTGGGAAGTCACTGTGGGAAAAAGTTAGAGATAGAAAAGAGCAGGCTGCCTAGAGGAAATAGGGTCGAATTATATTGACTACAGCATGTGCTCAGAGAACAAAAGTGAAAAAGTGGAAAGGGTTTGGGAAAATAATTTGGTAGTGCTGAAGAAGCGTGTAAAGCAAGTCAAGAAGTTGGGTCCTATTTGTAGGTAGTAGGGAGCCACTGATAGCTGAGTAGAAAGGAATCTGCCTACCAACGCAGGAGACACAGTTTTGATCCCTGGGTTGGGAAGATCCCTTGGACAAGGAAATGGTAACCAACTCCTGGAACACACTCCAGTATTCTTGCCTGGGAAATCCCATGGACAGAGGAGTCTGGCGGACTACAGTCCATGGGGTCGCAAAAAGAGTCAGACTTGACTTAGCAACAAATAACAACGAGGAGTCATTGAAGGTTATAAGCAGGGTAATAGAAGAACCATATTTTAAGTAATATATCTAACAGCTGTGTGTAAAACAGCTCAATAAAAATTTAGCCTAATATTCTTCTATGCTTATATATCTCTTAATATTACAATATTTATTATGATTTATTCTAGAATGAGAATAATTACCTGAGCAGGAGGGTGTTCAGGTGAACTGACGTTCATTGAGTATCGATTTTGTACCAAGCTCTGTACTACACAGTTCATAGCTACTGGGGGTGATTTTGGATAGTTTTTTTGCATATAATCATAATAACCCTGTGAAATACTAATGATAAAAGTTTTAATTCTGGTCACCATACTATATTTACAAAGGTAGTGAGAGTGGCTTAAAAGGACTGAATGATACATTGAAAAACAAGAGTTGAAATAATGAGGACTTACTTGACAAATAATAAATGTGAGAGAGGATGTGGAAAAAAAGAGAACCCTCCTAAACTGTCGATGGGAGTGGAAATTGGTAAATAAACCCACTATGGAGAATAGTATGGAGGTTCCTTATAAAACTAAGAATAGTTACCATATGATCCAGCAATCCCACTCAGGCATACTATCTAGGCAAAACTATAATTCAAGAGATACACTCATCCCTATGTTCACAGCAGCACTGTTCACAATAGCCAAGACACGGAAGAAACCTAAATGTCCATCAGCAGATGAATGGATAAACAAAACACCCATATATGCCCATATATATGTATACATAATAGATACATATAATATACACACAATATATACACCCATATATAATATACATAGTAGAATATTACTCAACCATAAAAAGTATGAAATAATGTCATTTGCAATAACGTTGATGAACCTAGATTATCACATTAAGTAAATAAGTCAGACAAAGAAAAACAAATATATAATGTAACTTAAATGTGGAGTCCAAAAAATGATGCAAATGAATTTATTTACAAAACAGAAATAGATTTCCAATGTAGAAAAAGAACTTGGGGAGACAAGGATAAATTAGGAGTTTGGGATCAATAGATACATACTATTACATATAAAACAGATAAACAACAAGGACCTACTATATAGCACAGGGAACTATATCCAGTGTCTTGTAATAACCTACAATGCAAAAAATATGAAAAAAATGTATGACTGAATCAATCTATTGTATACCAAAAGCACTGTAAATCAACTCTACTTCAATAAATTTTTTTAAAAAATGAGTAGTTACTGAATAACAGTAACAAAGTTTAATTAATAAAACAAGGTGAACCATTTTTTCAACTGAAATAGGGAGGCATTTAAATATAAATAATGTATTTTGAATTTTTTTGGTTCATACATTCTATATCAGTATCTATACACACACACACACACACACACACATTTGCTCACCCAGAGTCTCAGGTTGGAGCTGAGACTTCAAGTTTCTCTCCTGCTCTATTGGTTCTCTACTATCAGAGTCTAAGGATTTCTTGTTACTACCAGGCTGATGATGATCTGATGGTTCTTTGTTGAGCTCATCATCTGGCATAGGTGTTGACCAATTCTGATTCAGAAATAAAATTCTGTCTTTGGTTCCATCATCTAGGCAGAGTAAAGATACAATACTAGACAAATGGACAATCATACAATACAAGAATGCCTTTTGTTCCCTCCAGGCAGTGTACCTGTTTGCTGTTTGGCTTCTTGGATATTCATTTTCATGATGTATTGTTGCCTTATCTGTTTAGCAAATCTGGAAGGGTTGTCCCATGGTATGTTGAACATCTCAGAATCTGTCCCATACATCATCCTAGAACGCTTTAGATTCCCATCTTCATCAACCTCAGAGAGTTTCAGGCTCTCAAAAGTAAACACTTTGAAGGCTCGTTCTACTTCATTCCAGTTCAAGACTTCTGTAAGAAAGCAGACCAGTGCTTTTAGAAACACTCTTTATTACCATATAGTACAGGAGCAACAGGGGGTCAGTCCACCAGAAAGACAAAAGAATCACGCCATAATGCATGTTGACCCGACTTTACACAAGGGCACCACAACTCTGCAACAAATATCACAGGCAACTCATAATGAGAAACTTAGCCAAGATATATCAAGATAATGCTCACAAACTGCTTCATAGATGAATGAATATGAGGTGTCCGGAGTGATTCACATTGATTTTTCCAGAGTATTGGTTGAATATGTTTAAAACTTGTCATTTTTTCATAGAGAATAGACTTGTGGTTGCCAAAGGGGAGAGAGGTGAGGAAAAGATAGGTTGGGAGTTTGGGGTTAGTAGATGTAAACTATTACATATAGAATGGATAAACAACAAGGTCATATTGCATAGTACAGGAAACTATATTCAGTACTCTGAAATGGAACAGAATGGAAGAGAATGTAAAAAACAAGGTATATATGTATACAACTGAGTCACTTTTTCTGTATAGCAGAAATTGATACAACATTGTAAATCAACTATACATTAATAAATTAAGAAAATGTCATTTTAAGCAAAAGCATCTTTTGCCGCTGTTGTAATTTAACACAGAAATCACTCACTTGTGTCTAATATAGGCTGTTACGTTTAGTAGGCTTTTCTGTTCACTTGGGCTTAGAAAAGACATGAAGTGAAGTCGCTCAGTCCTGTCCCACTCTTTGCGACCCCATGGACTGTAGCCCAGGCTCCTCTGTCCATGGAATTTTCCAGGCAAGAGTACTGAGTGGGTTGCCATTTCCTTCTCCAGGGGATCTTCCCAACCCAGGGATCGAACCCAGGTCTCCCGCACTGCAGGCTGACGCTTTACCATCTGAGTCAGCAGGGAAGCCCTAGAAAAGGCATCTTTCCACCCAATAAACTGGTACAGAACTTTTCATAACTTTATTTCAAAGGTTATCAGCCTCCAAGGGGCTATATTAATTTGTGTATTTAATATTTTATAGAAATTGTGTGTTCACTCACTCATGCACTCATTTTTGTTTTCTATGTTCTAGGCTTTATACTCTACGTATTTTTCTTTGCCTGACATTGAAAGAAAAGACTTGGTTCTGCAATTCAAAAGTTCAAGATAGAGAGGTAGGAGGTAGGTATTAACAAACAGTCATGGAATTCAGTGAGGGAAAGTGAAATGATAGGGACAGATCAAAGAATCTGAGGTCACCTCCATTTTTCCTCTCCAACAGAGAAGAGTATAGCGGGAAGGTTTCTTTTGGAAAAAACACAAGGAAATTCAGGAGAGAGACAGGAAAAAGTCAAAGGTGACAAAATTAAGTTTGTTCATTCATTCATTCATTTCACAAACATTTTTTGAGCACCTACTAGTTGTCAGTAACTTTAATAAAAGGACTATAGCAGCAAACATATCAGTGAACTCCTAACTTTACAGAGTATCTATTTTAGCAGTTGGGAACACAGAATAAACAGGTAATTGTATACTCTATCAGAAACAAGAAGAAAAGTAAAGCCAGATAAGGGGATAAGCAGTAATAATGACTGCGGAGGGACTTCTACTTTATATAAAGTAGTCAGAGCAGGGCTTCCCAGGCAGCTCAGATGGTAAAGAATCTGCCTGCAATGCAGGAGATGCAGGTCTGGTCCCTAGGTAGGGAAAAATGCCCTGGAGAAGGCAACAGCAACCCACTCCAGTATTCTTGCCTGGGCAATCCCATGGACAGAGGGGCCTGGTGGGCTATATTCTGTGGAGTCGCAAAAGAGTTGGACACAACTTAGCGGCTAAACAACAACAAATATCAGAGCAGAGTCCTGTAAACAAGTAAAGCAAAAATAAGAAATAAGTGGGGGAGTCATACCACTATCTGGGAGTAGGGTGATGGAGGCAGGGGAGGGAAATAGCTAGTGCAGAGGTGGAGGCAGAGGTGTGATGGACTTGTCCAAGGAAGCACAGTGAAGTCAATGAGATAGAGTGGAGTAGAACAATGAGAATTAGAGGATTAGCTCAAAAAGTTTAGATTTTACTTTGAGGGAAATAGGTGATCACGAGAGGGTTTTGAGCCAAGAACGAACAGGATCTGACTAACCTTTTGGAAGAGTCATTCCTGCTATTATGTGAAGAAAAGACTAAACAAAGGGAAAACCTGGAGACCAACTGGAAAATTCCTGAAATAGTTCAAATGAGAGGTGGTGCCGGATTGGGCCGGGCTGGTAGTGAGAGATGTGGTGGGATTGGTTGTGGGGCATAAAAAAGAACCAGGGATGACTCCAAGGTTTTGGTAGAAAAGAGTTGCTATTTACTGAAATAAAGAGCACTGTGAAGGAACAACTTTCAAGGAAATCAAGAATTTGGACCTATTAAGCATTAAGAAATCTGCCTGCAGTGCAGGAGACCCCAGTTAGATTCGTGGGTCGGGAAGATCCGCTGAAGAAGGGATAGGCTACCCACTCCAGTATTCTTGGGCTTCCCTTGTGGCTCAACTGGTAAAGAATCCATCTGCAATGTGGGAGACCTGGCTTCAATCCCCGGGTTGGGAAGATCCCCTGGAGAAGGGAAAGGCTACCCACTCCAGTATTCTGGCCTGGAGAATTCCACGGACTGTATAGTACATGGGGTCACAAAGAGTTGGACACGACTGAGCAACTTTCACTTAAACATGAAGAAGGATAAAAGAGGAAGGAGAGGTGGAGGAATAAGGGTTCAGGATGGGACATACGAGCAGGATATGTACATGGGAAGTTTCAGTGATGGCAACAAAAATAGGAATCTTGTGCACTTTACAATGTGGGGAATAGAGCCAATATTTTATAATAAATATAACTGGAGTATGACCTTTGAGAAATTGTATAAAAAAGAATATGTGTTACATATTTTTCCCATAAAAGACAAAAGCAAATGTTAGCATACTAATCATCCTCTTCTTATCCTTGGTTTCCTTTTCTTTTTAAACTTAACTATCTAGGAGACTGTTCCATATCATGATAGAGATAGCCCTCCAAGTTGTTAAGATACATGATCTTGTACCACACAGGTGTCTCATATTTTAATGAGAGCTTTTGATGGGATAGTTTGTTTCTAGAATTTTGCTACTGTGAAAAATGATTCAATAAATGTACTTTCTCATATTAAAAAAAAAATCCTGTGCTGTGTGTAGAACCAAGGTAGAGAGAGAATGAGATCATATCACAAGGCAGAAGGAGAAGAGCAGTGTGGCAGAAGAGAGGAAAAGGCCAGATGTTCTCAGGACACCAGGAAGAGGATGAATATGGAAAAATAGACACGACACACCCAGTACCACTAGGCTACACCCATTTCCATGAGGGGACAGCATGACAGTATTAAGAATTTTGTTTCTTTTTTTTTCAGTCTCTTCAATAAGTGGTGCTGGGAAACCTGGACAGCTAATGTGTAAAAGAATGAAATTAGAACACTTCCTAATACTATACACAAAAATAAACTCAAAATGGGTTAAATACCTAAATTATAGACTAGAAACTATAAAACTCCTAGAGGAAAACATAGGCAGAACACTCTTTGGCATAAACGGCTGCAAGATCCTCTACGACACACCTCCTAGAGTAATGGAAATAAAGACAGAATAAACAAATGGGACCTAATTAAACCTAAAAGCTTTTGCACAGCAAAGGAAACCATAAACAAGATGAGACAACAACCCTCAGAATAGGAGAAAATAATTGCAAACAAACCAAATAACAAAGGATTGATCTCCAAAATACACAAGCGATTCAAGCAATTCATGTAGTTCAGTATCAGAAAAGCAAACAACCCAATCAAAAAATTGAGCAGAAGGCTTAAGCAGACATTTCTCCAAAGAAGACACACAGAATCATAAATACATGAAAAAATGCTCAACAGCACTCATTATTAGCAAAATGCAAACCAAAAGTACAAGGAGGTATCACCTCACACTGGTCAGAATCTGCTGCTGTTTAGTTGCTAAGTCATGTCCAGCTCTTTCTGCGACCCCATCGACTATAGCCCACCAGGCTCCTCTGTCCATGGGACTTCCCAGGCAAGAGTACTGAAGTGGGTTGCCATTTCTTTCTCCAGGGAATCTTCCTGACCCAGGGATCAAACCCACATCTCTTGCACTGGCAGGCAGATTCTTTACCACTGAGCCACCAGGGAAGCCTGTTGNGAATATACCTCAGCCAGAAAAAGGAACCAATTTGAATCAGCTGTAGTGAGGTGGATGAACCCAGAGCCTGTTATACACAGTGAAGTAAGTCAGAAAAAGACCTAATGTCATATATTAGTGAATACATATGGAATTTAGAAAAATGGTACTGATGAACCTATTTGCAGGGCAGGAATAGAGATGCAGATGTAGAGAACGGACTTGTGGACACAACAGGAGGAGAGGGTGGGAGCAACTGAGAGAGCATCATGGAAACACATACATCACCATGTGTTAAAACAGTCGGTGGGAAGCCGCTATATAACATAGGAAGCTCAATCCCGGGCTCTGTGACAACCTAGAGGGGAAGGACGGGGCGGGAGTTGGGAGGGAGGATCAAGAGGGAGGGGACATACGACACTTATGACTGATTTATGTTGTTGTATGAAAGAAACCAACACATCATTGTAAAGCTATTATCCTTCAGTTAAAAATTTTTTAAAAATCTGGCTATTACTAAGGCTACTAAAATATGAAAAAAAGAAATCCAAGTACAAATATTTCATAACTTTCTTAGATGAAAGGAGAAGGAAGAATATGCACTTTTTTAAAATCTAGGTCAAATCAAGATGTCTATGTAATTTCCTATTTCTTCTTATAAGCAGCAATATATCTGCCTATTGCTTCAGTTGGAAATAAGATTTGTGTTTCAGGAAATGATTGTCTTTATCTTAAAATCTCCATGAGCTCTGCAATAAGAAGCTGATTTTAGATATTTTTAATGACCCTTCTTTCTTAAAAACAGACAACACACCCTCCTATTGTGAGAGATGAACTGGAATTAACACTTAGCATATGGCTCAGTGAGTAAAGAATCCACCTGCAATGCAGGAGACACAGGAGACATGGGTTCAATTCCTGGGTCGGGAAGATCCCTTGGAGGAGGATATGACAACCCACTCCAGTATTCTTGCCCAGGAAATCCCACAAACAGAGGAGCCTGGAAGGCTACAGTCCAAAGGGTCACAAGGAGTCAGACACCACTGAACACACACGCACACACACCACACCCAGGCATACACACTACACCCACAAGGGGTGCTCTCAGTTCTGCTCTTAACTAGGATGGGGACTACTATGTCATCTCCAATCATGTTAATGAGTAGACGGGCCGAGGGGGTGTTGGGAGGCAGGGAGGAGGAAGAGAGAAGGGGATTACTCTTGTAGAAACACAGTGGAATGAAAACCCAGGGCATCAAATTGAAGAATGTTATAGTTATCATCCTGCTGTTAATGACATTATTCAAAATAAAAAGAAACTGTAGTCAATCAAAATACTCCACAGCCTCTGAAAGGACAACAATAAAAATATTTTTGCAGATTGGGGTATAATCATTAGAGGCACACATGACCATAAATGAATGAGTTTAAGCTACAATGAAGCAATGTACTCACCATTTGTACAAAAGTGCATGAGCTCATGAATTGTAGCTAGACGTTTTGTGCTATTCCATGGCGGGGGCAGAGGGAATTTAAGGAATTCCCACAGTGGCAACTTGGACTGCATCTCTTGTTCAATTTGAACTGGATCAAAATTCTTTAGGTCCTGATGAAAAAGAGCAATGTGACAGAAGACGTTAAAATAAGCTGTCAACTGCCTTATGCATATGGAGAAGGCAAAACATGATACCTTTGCTCTCATTATCTGGGAACAGGGGAAATCAATGGTAATTGGGGAAGACAAACTGTTGGTATTTTGCTGAAGGTCAAAAAAAGCTACTTCTCACTTTGCCAGAGATTCTTGGTGCACAGAAATGATGGATTCCTTATTCACAGTGACAAACTGCCAAAGTCTCAAATATATTCCTGCCTCCCTTCTTAGATTCTTTTCTTGCCTCCACTAGTTTTTTTTTCTTTCATATTAGCAGATATATAAAGCACATAACTGTAAGGTCTTAATACATATTTGGTGTAGTTGCAATGAATTTAATGGTTCATTGGCCCTCTATACGTGGGCCGGTTTTCTTTGCTGGTGTACTTTTTCCTTCATTCATGTCCATTTTCCAAGATCTTACTTTGCAGGTGTCTACTTTGTAGATAACTTTTAATTAGCATTGGTAAAGCTGTCCAATTAAGATTTCTACAACTGAATAATCACAAATGAGCTTTCTTGCATCAGTTATCCTCTGGGTAACCTGGTCAATTATTACCTTTAGCACGTAACAAGGGAAGCCCAAGAATACTGGAATGAGTAGCCTATCCCTTCCCCAGCGGATCTTCCCAACCCAGGAGTCCAACCAGGGTCTCCTGCATTGCAGGTGGATTCTTTACCAAGTGAGCTATCAGGGGAAAGTTGGGACGTATTAGTTTTAATGGTCAGCTCTTTATCAACATTTATGTATTTCCTTTGCTTTTAGTAAAAAGAAGGCAGTTTCTACCCAAAAGTATGGTGATTACACAAAGTGGCAGTATAAAATTAACCAGTGATTACCAAAATAAAAGGGATAGTGTTTATAACCTATATATTGAAGTAAAATTTTAATGCATGTATTAGAATAGACAACACAAAATGCAAATGCTAAAAAAGAAAATTTACCATAGTAGAAATCAAAATAACAATATTAATATATGTTTTTAATGATTCACTCTTTCTCTTAAAGCACTCAAAACCTTGGTTTCATATCTTTGGATTCAATAAAAATTTATTGATTGCCTACCACATACCAAGCATGTGTAGGGCACTTTCACATACATTATCTCATTTAAGCCTCACAGCAATATTGCTGAGTAGGTATTATTTCCTATTTTATATAAATGGAACTAGGGTGAGTGAAATTAGGTGCCTGGCCCTAATTAGTAGTTCAAAAACTAATTTGGACTACTAAAAAGTAGTCCAAAACTACTTAGTGGGTGGAACTGGGGGTTCAGGTTAAATCCCCAAGATAGAAAAGTTATAGACAGTGAGATCAGTTAAGGGTAATATTCCCCTTTACATGGTAAACAAAAAAGTTGAAATGTAATCAAGATAGGCACCTAATTTATAATTGTTCTCTTCACCTTAAATACGGAAATCACCCTCTGATTTCACACCCCTCTGCAGGACTTCTCAACCTTGAAACTTAAGGCATTTGGACTAGATGCTTTTTGCCATGGGGGCTAACTTGTGCACTATATGGAATGTTTAGCAGCATCCCAGGCCCCAAGCCACTTGGTGCCAGTAGAACACCTTCAACTGTGGCAACCAAAAGTATTTCCAGACGCTGCCAAATGCCCCCTTTGAGGCAACTCCCCCTGTTGAGAACAATAGCAAAACAGTCTTACACTCTTACTGTTTATCAACACCTTACTTTTCAAAGAGTCACTCCTGTCCCCACTTCCTCTCTTCCTACCATCTCTTGGACCCACTCCAATCACAAAAGACCATACAGAACTGTTCCAAGTCTGAAATATTGAAAATTCTAATATTCCCTCTTATAATATCCCACCCGATTCCTCTTATATTTTAATTCTTCATCCCTTTATTATTAAGCATGTTTTCAGCCAACATGTATCTTTTATGGGAGTCTAGGTGTCAGGCACTGAGCTCATTAGCTGTCTGTCACCTTTGGTACCTGGAAAACAGTAGATGGTTAATAAATGTTTGTTGCTCTAAGTTGAAAAAAATAAGGAAGACTAAGATAAATGATACTATAAGCTCTCTAGGGCTGTTGAACTTTTACAAACATATTGACATAATAAAATACTGATCTCAAAGCATTACAGGGTAATTAAAGGCAAATAAACATAAGTGTATTTACCTAATTGGTTAGAAAACTAAAGCAGTTAACAAACAAAATATATAATGGAGGTAAAAGAGATGATAGAGTCTAAAAATATTTTAATATTCAAGGAGATAAAGGAAATGTTACATACGTGAAGCAAGAACAATAGGCAGTTATAAGGGAAATTAAAGAATTTATAATTTTAAAAAGTTACTGTTGAAACAAAATTTCAATAGCAGACCAGACTCCATGGAAAAATGAATTAGTTGGAAATCTTAAGCTGAAATTCTCAAAGGGGTAAAGTTGCAAGAAAATTTCAAATACATGGAGGAAAAAACCAGAAATTCCAACATCCATCTAATAATAAGTGTGTGTGAGTGTTCAGTTACGTCCAATTCTTTGCAACACTTTGGACTGCAGGCTGCCAGGCTCCTCTGTCCCTGGGACTTTTGGGGCAAGAATACTGGAGTGGGTTGCCATTTCCTCCTCCAGGAGATCTCCCTGACCCAAGGATTAAATCCGCATCTTATGCATTACAGGCAGATTCTTTGCTGCTGAGCCATCAGAGAAGCCCTAATAATAATTAGGATAAATAAATAAATAGAAACAATATTTGAAGACATAATTGAATGAATACATATTGTGTCTACTATGGGTTAGGTGTGGTTATTGCATCCTGAAGAGACAGCAATAAACAAGACTAGATTAGGGACTTCACTGGCGGTCCAGTGGTTACGAGTCTGCCTGCCAGTGCAGGGGACATGGGTTCAATCCCTGGTCCAAGAGGATTTGATATGCCTCAGGACAATTAAGCCCACACACCGTAACTCCTGAGCCCATAACTCCTGCACATTATAGACCTCATGCTCTGCAAACAAGAGAAGCCACCACAATGAGAAGCCCACGCACTTCTACTAGAGAGTAGCCTCCACTCGCTGCAACTAGAGAACACCCACAGGTAGCAATGAAGATTTAGCACAGCTGAAAACAAATAAAATAAAAGACTAATTTAGGTCCCTGCTTGCATGGAGCTTACATTCTAGTGAGAAGAAGAAAGACATAAAGCAAATAAACCTAATTTTGAAAGAGCAGTTGTTGTAAGAAAGTAAAATAAGGTGAAGTGGTAGAGAGCATTTTTTGTTGTTGTGGGCTTTCTTTAGACCAAGTGGTCAGAGAAAGCCTACTTCAGGAGCACTGTGTTCTCTGGGGATTAAATGACAGGGAGTATCCAACAGGCAGACATGTGGGAGCAATATTTTCCAGGAAGAGAAGTTAGAGTGAAAACACTAAGGTAGAATTAGTATGTGTAAGGAAAAACTAGAAAGCCTATGTAGATGACCAATAGTATAAGTGTGCATGTGGTGGGGGGCAGGAGATGACAGAAGCAGCCCAGAACCATATTTTTAGGGTCTTTATGGATCAGCATAAGGAATTTTGATTTTACTCAGAATGTTATCAGAAACCAGACTTTAATCTTTTCAATCATAAAGACAATGATAAAACAAATCCATATCTACACATAGCCTTGTGTTATCAATTATAAAAAGAAAACTCTAATAGCTGCCAGAATTAAAAAATAGATTACCTATGAAGGAAAATATTCACTGGAAGGACTGATGCTGAATCTGAAGCTCCAATACTTTGGTCACCTGATGTGAAGAACTGACTCATTGGAAATGACTCTGATGCTGGGAAAGATCGAAGGCAGGAGGAGAAGGGGACAACAGAGGATGAGGTGGCTGGAGGGCATCACTGACTCAATGGACATGAGTTTGAGCAAACTCAGAAAGATAGTGATGCACAGAGAAGCCTGGTATGGTGCAGTTCATGAGGTTGCAAAGAGTCAGACATGACTTAGCAACTGAACAACAATAATAAAGGAAAAAGTATCTGATTGATGTCAGACTTCTTATCAGCAACATGAGAAGGAAGACCACAACAGAGCAATGCTATCAAAATACTTTTCCACGTAGACTGATAAGATTCAAAAGCAGTTTCTGTCACCTACTACTTGGACAAGTTACTTAACCTTTTTTATGCCTCAGTTTCCTTATCTGCAAAATGGGAATAAAAATGGTTCCTACTCCCTAGGGTTGTTTCAAGAATTAAATGAACTGATAACAAACTTTTCTCAAATGCATCTACAGCATTCATAAGAACTGACCATGTGTACGAGGTCACACAGGAAGTCTGGGAAATTAAAAAAAAAATTTTAACACCCAGATCATGTTTACTGACCATAATGAAATAAAATCAGAAATGGACAATAAAGAGTGGAAATTAAAAGACTTAGAACTGAGTACTCTGAATGCATTATGATGTGTCCAAGAAATACTCAAAATGCATAGGCTTAAGTAAAGTGAAATAGAAAGTAAACCAAGTGAACTTTTAATTAAAATGAATTGCTAAATAAACCAAAGAAAGTAGGAAGAAGGAAATAATAAAGATAAATGAAGAAATTAGTAAAGTAAAAAGGAGTGGATCAATGAAAAAAATGCTGTTCTTTGAAAAGACCAACAATCAATAAACCATCGACATCCATGATCAAGAAAAGAGGGCACTAAAAAATAACATTGGTCATAGGGAAGGAACATAACTGATACAGAGAGAGTTTTTAAATGTATATTAGTGAATAAAGAGCTTCTAGGATATTGAAAACACAAATAAAATGGATATTTATTTAAAAAGATGAATGACTAAAATTGGCCTCAGAAACAGAAAAATCTGATTAAATCTACAAGAGTAAAAGAAACTTTAAATGCAGTTGAAGACCATTAACCACCCTGTCCACCTGCCCAACTCCTCTCTCTTTCATTAAAATGACACCTGATAGTATTTAAACATATGCCTACCACAACTTCAGGGTATGTTATATAAATGGTTCCAGAGCATAGCAAAAGAAAGAGGACTGAAGCTCATAAGAAAATTTTAGCTTTATCTAAAATGTCCTAATCTTTGTAAAGGAGAATGCATTCAGGCATTACAAGCCTATTTTTAAAATAGTTTTTTAAAAAAGAAAGGGAGGTGAAGTACCTGACTACACGTCGCCCGCCAGGGAAGAAAGTTCCAGGATGTATCCACTTACCTGTTCCAGCATACAGTGCAGTATCAAGGGCACAGAAATGAATTCCTCTGGAATGGGATTCAGCAAATCATTGTAGTATCTCATGTCTACTTCATTTGTGATGATGGAAGCCACTGTAAAAGATACAAAATATTGTGGTTCACTTAAAACGTGCTCTCCATTTCTTCCATCCACAGATTCAAACTCTGATCATGCCCTGATAAACGCGGGAGCTGGGGGTGGAGGGAGGTGTGAAAGCAACATGGAGGACAATCATTCCCTAAAGCACCAGCTCCTGATGCTGATTCTCCGGCTGCTCCATACATGCCTGGTGCTGGTGGTAGCAGTGTTGGTGGAGGAGGAGCTGGGATTTGTGGCTCTTCATATTGTTGTGTTTTCTTCTTTCCAGGGATTGTGACAACAGGTTGTGGAGGCTAAAAGAACAATTAAAAAGGAATAATTAAAACATCCAGTTGAGAGATGCTTTCATCCAATGCTGGGATGATGGGATTTCGATGGGATTCTGAGGTTGCATGATTCTGTTCACACCACAAAATTATTTGCTAATATGAGGGTCAAATAAGGAAATTTTGTCCACAGAAGGAAAGAAGTTAATGGGTATGGAGATTTCTCAGTTTTTTCCTAATAGAACCCACTAAGCAATGGAATTCCAGTTGAGCTTTTTCAAATCCTGAAAGATGATGCTGTGAAAATGTTACACTCAACACGCCAGCAAATTTGTGAAAACTCAGCAGTGGACACAGGACTGGAAAAGGTCAGTTTTCATTCCAATCAAAAAGAAAGGCAATTCCAAAGAATGCTCAAACTACCGCACAATTGCACTCATCTCACATGCTAGTAAAGTAATGATCAAAATTCTCCAAGCCAGGCTTCAGCAATACGTGAACCGAGAACTTCCAGATGTTCAAGCTGGTTTTAGAAAAGGCAGAGGAACCAGAGATCAAATTGCCAATA